TTACCTTTCCAGCTGGATGAAACCGTCTTCACCTTTTTCGGAGCAGGTTACCCTTTGCAGTCCACTGTTTTGACTGTTCTTTTGTCTCTGGAGTGTAGTGGTGGATTCAAGTTTCATCTACAGTTATGAATCGATGCAAAAAATCTGATTCGTTTCGCTTGTGATGACGCTCGACCGCTCCAACAGGGACTTGGAAATGTTCATTCGAATTCGTTTTTGGTCCAAAGTGAGCAAGCGCGGCACCCAACGCGCGGATAGCTTGCGCATATCCAATTCTTCAGTCAATATATGATAAACGCGTTCTTTCGATATGCCCATAGTCTCTGCTATCTCTCTAACCTTGATTCGACGGTCGTCCAGTACTATTTGGTGAACATTTTCGATGTTATCAGCAATAGTCGCAGTTTTTGGCCGTCCCGAACGTTCATCATCAGCCAAGCTGGTACGACCACGTTTAAATTCAGCTGCCTATCTTTTTACGGTGGCAAATGATGGCGCAGAGTCCCCGTAAATAGCGTCCAACTCGATTTTAATTTGCGCAGGCGTATTGCCTTTCAAATGTAAGAATTTAATCACGGCACGATATTCAATTTTTTCCATTTTTACAAAAACACTGACATCGACTGACACAAACGACTGTCAAACAACAACTGAGCGTCCAAAATGGCTAAAATTTTCACAAAAGTCTTTCAAAGCATATACTATGTAGTACTAGAATGGTTTTGACGTGAGTAACGTCATCTTCATGTTAAGGCTCAAAACTTTTCAGACTACCCTCGTAAAAATATATTATAATAAAAATATATTATTATATAAAAATTATTATATAAAAATATATTAATATATATAGTGTAACATATGCAGACACCATAAATTTTTGAACTTCTCGTTCTTTTCAATAAAATTTATTTATTATTAAATTGATAGAATTTACATGTAAGATTACAGATTGATAAAATTATTATAAGATGCTCAATAAGCAAGTCTGGTCATTAACAAAAAGATAAAACTTTAAATCATACAATATTTTCTCCAAATTAAAATAACGTTTGAAGAATATTCATTGGTATTTTGAAGTAAGATGTGTAAATTGAACTTTTATTTCGGAACAAATACACATCATATTTTTTAATGCTCGTAAGTATTCGCTAGAAATACAATTTTGACAAGACTTACCTTATCAGGTAATGATGCGGCCACGTGGGGTGGAGGAAGTGGAAGTGGCTGGGTCTGTCGCCGTCGATGAGGATGAGAGAGCGACGTAGCTCGCTACTCCGTGAAGTCGCCGGGGCCCGCCGGTGGAATTAGTCCGACGACCAGGCCGAATGATCCCCGCGTAATTCCGCGGTCTGCATCAAGAGGGCTCCATCGATATAGAGCCGATCGAGAAGCTCCTCTCACGCTTTCTTTTGCTGAGCTGCCTGCTCCGTTGTCGTCGTTGCCTGGAATTCTCCTCCTCAGGTTCAGCACGCTGACCGTGATCTGGAGAAAAGAGAAGAAAAATAAGTCGGGGGTTGAAGTCGAGAGACTTGAATTTATCATCAAAAGATGGGGGAGAGAAAGAGATGGGGGGGAGAAGAAAGAGAAAGAGAAGAAAGAGAGAAAG